CCATAGTCGGTTCATCGCACGCAAAGATTGAGCGTCACTACGGACGCTGTCGGCGTCTCGCGCATCGACCGCTCTTTCATTCCTCTTGCCGTCTGCTGCCTCTCCCATGCACGAACTGTCGCAGTCGGACGCAACGACGTCCAGTTCGTGCGTGCGATGAATCGCCTATACCTAAATTATTGTACAAGGACTGTAATGGCCTTTTTCGTTGCTTCTTCTTTCAAGGTCTTTTTTTCGTGCCGTCAATTATTGATCGGCAATTCAGAAGGCAGCGTCCGGGCAGAATCCATACACCCCGTTTAGTGCCAAGTCTAAGTCGTTGCATTCAGGCATTTGCGAAGCGGACTTTTTCCTTGGAGCTGCAATCTAGAAGTGGTGATCAAGAAATTTACCTTACAAGAAGTTTTTTGCCTGGTAATCTCCAACAAAATTTCAATCGAGTAGATTTTTCTACGATTGAATTTATACCGAAAACTGTAATATAAAACTGTAAACGCAAAGCAGATCCATAACAAGTTTTAGTTGGATTCGCTTAGATACGTAGTCTCAGATGGCCAGTTCGACTATAAACACTCTGATTAGCCAGCTTTCCTTTATGAAAAAAAAAGAAGTCCAATCCACTGTATTACAAAGTTTTGTCTGCATCTCACCTCTGAGTGAACGCTAGCCACAAACTATTCGTTTGATGGCATTGTCTCACAGTCATGGCAAAGTCTAGGTAATAAGAGATTAGGGTCCAATTTGGGCAGTGCTTTGTTTAGGAGATCCTTAAAAATCTGCGGAGACCTCACCACGTCAAATTTGGTGGGACATTACCTTGGTACATTGCTCAGAAAAAAATGCGTTGCACAAGTTAGGTGAAGCCATACTAACAAAAATATGAGCGTAAGCACAATAACCTGACCATGCAGCTAATCTAAAAGCGTTCAAAGAGTGTTACTGAAATTGTATAATAGGAAACAATTATTTTTCCTCGTAGGCCCATACCGCTAACGCTTGTCTTGCACGTGGTATATTCTGGTATTCGTGCATGATACGTTCATTGTATTAGGTTGGCTCGAAAGGGACATTTTCAGAAAAGATCTTCTATTTCTCGGAACCTAATGCATGTACACCCAGCAGAGATACCATTCATAGAGGAAAGCAAGCTCTAAAAGATGGTGTGCAAAAATCGGCACCAGCTTCGAGTCAGCGTAAGTTTGCATTCAAATGTGAGTCGTACTGAAGGCTCGAAAAATTGGGAAAAATTCATAACTTCGTTCAAATAAATCCTACAGATCTCCAGGTTGCTCAAGCAAATTGCACACCACATCAGATACTCATACAATTCAGTAATTTTCGAAAACTAACGCCTGTAGAAAGCTAAAAATCTACAGTTATACTTCTAAGAGCTTGTAGTATTAGGTTGTTACATAAGTCTTGTTACACTTGACTTCTAACGACAACAAGTCATGCATTTCATATTCTTTACAGGACTCCAAAGTATCATTCGATAGAGCAGAGCAAGCTCTACAAGATGGTATGCGAATGTTCGCACCAACTTTGACCCACTGTAACTTTGCATCCAAAATCTGAGTCGTAGTGAAGACTCAAAAATTGCGAAAAATTCATATCTTTGTTCAGAAGATTCCTACGAATCTCCAACTTGCTCACAAAAATTGCCCACTATATCAAACACTCATATGTACCTTTGCTGCAATTTTTTCTCATCTAGAAATCGAGAAAACGAAAAATTTTCGGTTTTTACAGAAACGAAGCTATGCTGTTTCTATGCATATGACTGTATCCTACAAGCCCTTAGAAGTATAATCGCAGATTTTCAGCTCTTCAGAAGCCCTAGTTTTCGAGAATTACCTAATTTAGCATTGAACACTCGAGTGAGAAAAACTAAATTTGATATTTTTCGAGAACTAAAGCTTCTGGAAAGCTGAAAATTTACGGTTATACTTCTGAGAGCTTGTAGTATACAGCTACATAAACACAAACAACATAGCTTCGTTTTTGTGGAAACTAAAAAATTTTCCATTTCTCGATTTCTAGACGAGGAAAAAATGCAGCAAAGGTACATATGATTGTTTGATATACTGGGCAATTTTTGTGAGCAAGTTGGAGATTCGTAGGACTTTTCTGAACAAAGATATGATTTTTCGTGATATTTTGTCCCTTCAGTGCGACTCAGATTTTGGATGCAAAGTTACAGTGGGTCGAAGTTGGTGCGGACTTTGGCAGACTATCTTGTAGAGCTTGCTTTGCTCTATCGAATGGTACCCTGGAGCCCTATAAAAATTGTGAAGTTCACGACTTATCGTCGTAAGAAATCAAAGTGTAACAAGACTAATGTAACAACCTAATATAAAATTACATGGGTGGAAACAGCACAGCTTCGTTTTTGTATGAGCATGAAATTTTACGTTTTCTCGTTTTCTAGATGAGGAGGAAATACAGCAACGGTACATATGACTATCTGATGTAGTGTGCAATTTGCTTGAGCAAATTGGAGATCCGTAGGATTTATTTGAACGAAGATAAGAATTTTCCCCAATTTTTCGAGCCTTCAGTACGACTCAGATTCTGGAGGCAAATTTACGCGGGGTCAAGCTGGTGATAAATTTTGCATACCATCTTTTAGAACTTGCTTTCCTCTGTCGAATGGTATCTCTGCTGGGTGTACATGCATTAGGTTTCGAGAAATAGAAGATCTCGTATGAGAATGTCCCAGAACTTTCGAGCCAACCCTAATACTTGTAAAAGCTGTACATCATTACTTTTTTGTAAAGTGCAAGAGAACGATTGCAATCATATGAAAAGTGCAGAATACGCTTACAAGGGAAGGATGATCGGTCGAAGTGGCCTTTTGAAATGAGCTCTATACAGGGAAACCGTTCTAGGTAAGGCAATCCCAAAACTACTTTCGCTGGTGCCGAAAGTTTTTGTGGGGGGAGTTATAAGGCCATTTTTCTCCGCAGCCAATGCGCCTGCTAATGAGCGAGCCGCTAAAACCATTTACTGAGTGTGACTAGGGTCAGCGACAAGGAAGCGGAATGTGAAGCAAATGGTCGAAAGTTCGGATCCTGTTGATAGTGTTTGCGTTTTACAGTTTTGTAAAAAGTCTATTGGGTGAACGAGAAATAGTGACTGCTACGCAGTTGAAACAAGCTATTTACTGCAAAAAGCCACTATTTCTACAATCAGCTAAAACCTTCTGCAATATGTTCTTGGGATATGATGTTACGACAATGAGTATCAATGACATATTATGCAGCTGTGGCGAGAACATAGTATTGATTGACAGCAGAGTTTTCTATTTATGCGCGCACTTGCCTGTACCTGCGTGGTCCTGCCTTGATAGGTAGTAAATCTGCTGGTTGCAATCGATTGCATTTCTGCAAATGCGCGCGCTGCGAGAAGCTCTTTTGTTTCAAACATTTTGTGGTAATATTCCATACATGTTAATATATCATTGAAATCCATTATCGTAACATCATAATCCCCACAGAATCACATGCTGTAGAAGATTGTAGCTGATCATAGAAATAGTGACTTTTTGCAGTAAATAGCTTGTCTCAACTGTGCAGCAATGACTATTTCTCGTTTACTGTCACCAGTAGACTTTCTACAAAACTGCAAAACGCATCAGTATCAACAGTGTTCCGAATCTTCAATCATCTTCTTCACATTTCGCTGCCTTGCCACTGCCTCATTGTCACGCTCGATGCATGGTTTTATCGCTTAGATTAGTAGGCGCATAGGCGCGCCGGAGAAAAATGTCCTCATTACTTCCCCCACAAAGCCGTTTGGCAACCAGCGAAAGTAGTTTTGGGATTGCCTTACCAAGAACGATTTCCTGGTATAGAGCTCATTTCAAAAGGTCGATTGATTATCATTCCCTTCGTTATTTTCGGTAATTGTATTGTTAGTTATTTCCGGCAAATCAATGAGACTGTGCACTAAAACAATGCAGATCTAAAATTCAAATTATGTTTAGGTTGCACTTGATTACTTGGACAGCTTCTTTGTTTAACAATCAATATTAGCGCAACTGAAAAAATTTTGATTTTAACCCTTAATGAACGCGTTGATATGACGGCTCGTGAGAAAACATTGTTCAACAACACCTTTACCCCATGACAAACTTGTACAAAGAATTTTAATCTGAATAGGCAACATAAAAACTGGCAGATTTGGCCTTTATAAGTAGCACATCACACACGGTGTTCTGTTCATACACCCGACTGCACGATTTGTAATTTTGATTCTAAACATATGGAATTCCTGATTCTCCTCATCTGTGGTGGAAGTCAAGCTGCTGGGTCATTCAAAGTGATTACAAAGGAAATTGCGACACAGCTAAATTTGGTGGGTTTTGATTATAAAATTGTTGCCCTAGTCCGAAGTCCGAATTCAGTGGGCATTGGAAGTGGAGCATCGGCGCTGACAAGGTTCTCCGGCGACCTCTGAAAGGAAAAAAAGAACTGAATCTATCACTATCAAGCCTCGCCTATTTTATCAAACTCCGGTTTCAGGAGTTTTCAAGTTTTGCACCACATATCAAAATTGAGGGCCAAGGAAAGGCTTAAAATGACTAAAACATTGAGGAATCTGGACGGACCTGCCTTTTAGCAAGTTTATCATCAGTCGCGTTCCTAACAGTCATCTTCATCTTCTTATGAAATTTTCACAAAAAAATGGAATCAAATTTCGAAAATTCCAAGGTTCTACATTTTCCTCGATTATCTGGCTATGTTGGAAACGAATCCACCAGCCACTTAGTTACTGTAAAAATTCGTTCGTACAGTAATGCTTGGCATGTTTAACAAATCCCGAAAAACTCATCGTATCGTGTTTGATGCTACGTTTGCTTACTTTTTTGGATAGATGATCCTAGAGTAATAAAATATTTAGACTCTTTGCTTGCAAATCTGTGAATAGCACGGAAGTGATAACTGTGGTTAACCATACTTCTCTCAACCCACACACCACTCTCCAAGGTTTCCTGGGTAATGGGTAATGGTTGTCAAGCAGGAGCTAGTCCAACTGTGCGCGAAAACGAAGAAGGTGAGTGTATATATTATGGAAATTCCTTTGAGTTCATGACCGAGGTTTAGTCATATCTGTAAATTCATTCCCAGCTGCTACATTCAATGGGGTATAGAGAAGTGACCTCGTAAAAACTAGCAGCTAACATCGTGGCATTATAATCCTTGAGTCCTTATTATTGAAGGACCTGTAACGGCAGAGTGGGCCGTTGAATCCGCGGGGCGGCGCGAGTGGCTTGTGGCGGGACCCGCTCTGTCAGCAGCCCTTGCCTCCTTGAATTTGCCTCAGTTTCTGGTGGCAGAGTAACAAGCGGTTGTTACTGCGTAATATCGTATAACTCGACTTTTTGAAATTGAAGTCAGTGACGGCGACAACGGCGCCACTGCTTAATACCGTCTAAAAGATGAGCGATGATGAAGCGCAACAACTACAGATTGTGAACACTACGTCTGCGATCGAGCATGACCAAGCAGTGATGCTAGCAGACTAAGTTTTGCTCCAAAATGAGATTTCAACTTCTACAAGTTTTTTTCGTCTGCTTTTGCCAGTTGTTCGATGTCACTGACTATATGTGGAAAACAACATATGACTTGCGCATTACAGGTGGGTTTGTTCCCTAGTTTTCTCATTTCAAACCTGCCTTTCGTATGTTAGAGCAAGGAGTTGAATTGAGCTTCCATACAATCCATACAAAGAGGCTTTGGAGCTCAATGGCTATATGAACTACTCTTTTCCCCTATATTATAAAAGTCAAAAAAGTGGTTTGGAAATTGAAATCCTGAATTGGCACTAAAAGAGATCCAGCCTTAGTCGATAGGTATACGAATGCGAGCGGGGCGAAGTGGATCAGTAACTCTATTTACAGGAAGTAGATTTGGCATCGCGAAGGAGTTACTTATAGTGGACTGTTAGATTGGTATTTCATCTCAGTGTGTCTCGCAACGCGATTTAGTCTGCCGTTCTCTCCTCTCTATTTGTGGTTTTGTAAATCATATTGTCACTGATATAAATTTCGACTCTTCCCAATGAATTCAGGTCAGGTGAACTGATGACCGCCCACCTTCCCATGCTATAAGCATGGCGAGTGAATAGTTGACCATCTGTCCACCTGCTGCAGTCAGCTCGTGCACATCAGTTCACGTTCACTTGAACTAAACGTGAACTGATGTTAAACGAATGCAAATAGTGCGTTAACGAGGAGACGCAGACAAGACTCCCGTAAGTTGCTCCTGAGTAACTTACGATACACATCAGTTAGGCTAAAAATGCAAACAAAATTGGCGCAAAACTGCACAACCGCGCCCGAAAAGGAGAGGATCGATGAACAGCCGATTTTGGCGAGGAAAACAAAAAAGAACAAATTCTTCTCTTTTTTGTAGACTTTACTGGTATTTTCTTAGAGCTCTCCAAAACGAGAACTGTTTGTTCACTTCATTAAATTCACGCCGCAACCATTCCGTTTTTTCGTAAAATTTTTGTCACAAAATGTGCTAGGCGAAATCCTTGATAGCAGTCATCATCAATTGCGATAGGGCCGCTACCAAAGATTGCCCGGCGATGCAACAAAAGTCGTATGGCGGAGTCGAACCACAGACGCGCGCGTGTAAGTCCAATCATTTACCCTTTTGACCGATTTGGCTCGAGTGGTCACTTTTTCAAGAACACCCTTGATTATAATGTCTAGGAAGCGATAGCATCCAGATTAATAGCTCACCGGATGCTAGAATGAGGCGCGATAAAATCAACTGCTATCCTCCTCAAGGGAGCTGCCTTGATGGGGGTTTACTACGGGCCTCAATTTCAAAGCAAGCTGATCAAAATAAGCAAGCAGTGCGTTTCTAGAAGTTAAAATCTAAACGTTAGCCTCCCGCTTCCCCAAGAGCATAGTAACTATAACTATAGTCTCTGCACAACCTTTCGCTGCTATACTTCGTCAGCACATACCTTTTCGACTATATTAAGCATCATTACCGTTGTTGCCGATGCTTATTTCAACCTAAAGGAACCAGCGACATCGCCTTTCGACCGTCAGTGAAATTCGAAGCAAACTCAAGGACGCATGCCGGCTGGCAGCGGTGGGTCCTGCCAAGGACCGCCTGTGCCGCCCCGCGGACTCAACGCCCACTCTGCCGTTACCGGTCCTCCCATTATTGCAGTTATGCGTGGTGAACGTGCAGAGATGGAGCAGATTTCGGACTGGAGTATCGAGAATGTGATCGACTGGAAGAGAATCGTTTCTAAATACTATGATATAAAAGGAATAAAAGATGAATCCGAGGGCGATGAGCAGTGATCTCAAAAGTCTTTGCTATGGCACAATGAAAGCTTATTTCGTAAAGATACCACTGAAACAAAACTTTGTTTGCAAGCCGATGTTGTGCTTGAGTTGACACATTGCTGGCAGCTGGGGACATTCATAGGCTGTTTCGCTTAACATCATTAGATTTAATCGGTGTTTATTCTGTCCTTATTGTTCATTTGTTTCTTCTTCTGTGCCACTATTCTTTTTCCATTTTGTAAGCATTTTTTCTAATTTTTGTATAGCACGTATGGATTGAAAATCTTTATGTACTCTAGATTATATGACCAATGAACATCCCCAGAGTTTTTTGTTTGGTTTGCTCATCAAATCGAACTAGATGAGTATTGATTAGTAGTTTTGATTAGATCTGAGGCACAGACGGAGATCAAACCCAGTACTATCATTGCACTTTAAAGAACCTCTGTACCAGCGCTGTCAATGGATTTCTTCTATACTACTAGAACATAAATGCAAGTTATGTCAAAGACTTTAAAATGGCAAAAAAGAGATTTTCAGATATCATAAATCAATCATAACAGTCAATTGTTCTATATTCTTGAATTTTTCTGAATTCTATTATTTATTTCTCGTTTTGATGCAGCTCGAGACAGATGACTTTGAATTTGTAATGGAGAGAGCTGATTGCGGTAGAGCCAGCACACATAGCCTTCAATTTGATTTGCCTCGGTGCCATGCTCTTTCACAGCTCCCATCAGATGTGTAGCACGGTTTTACCACCCGATTTTACTCTTCATAAACTTGGCGTTTGAAGTCCTTTTTACAAGTTCCAAGCGTCGACAGAAAAATTTTGCTGATGATGGGTTAAAGGCAGCCATCAGCAACAAAGGTTTTCAGAGATATTTGACTTTATATTGTTCAATAATATTTAAGAGCGGAATCGCTGCTATTCCAAAATTTCGCTCTCTGTAGTGATTGGAAAAAGGCAAAAACACTTGTCACCGCAGTGAGTTCTGTGATTCGCGAAGAATTGCTTTTTGGCGTCCGTTATACAAAGAATCAAGGCGTTGACAATCTTTATGATTTGAAAACCTTTATAACATAAATTATGAATAAAAACAAGCATTGCTGAATTTGTACATCAATACTATGAGCACCCCTTGATCGAAATTAATCAAGTGGGTTCTTTAACGGAGGAGGGCAAAGCACAAAAAATAGAATTTACAGTTGCAAACAAACGCAGGGAAGTCTCTTGATAATACAGCAGAGACGATTTTCATTCAAACGACATACTCTACAGCAAGAAGCGCTTTTGATTCATCCGGAGCCAAGGACGCTCTTGTTGTTTTCGGCGCCACTGGCTTCTCCATCTCAAAGGAACCATTGGAATCTACTGCCTGAATGTTCTACGCATTTCTAGCAGTGTTGAAGGTAGAAAAGTTGGAGAATAACAATATGATATCTGAGAACGGACCTGCATTTGTATTGCGGTGTGACTGTGCACGGTATTTTGATTGCTTTTAAGCTGCATTTCAAGCTCAGGATTGTTTAAGTGATCTGAATATATTGTTTACTAGCTGGCTTACCCGGCTCCGCCGTATCCGGACCAAACTTGGCACACATACACTTCGGGCCCCGGCGGGTGTCACAGTCCACTTTTCGTTATCGATCGGCGTCGATTTTACCGATTTTTATCGATTTTTTTGCAGAGTTCACCTACAGGGCTAGGAGTTGGCACAGGGGGGGAAGTGAGCATGGGGATTCCGAATACAATATTAGTTTTCAGAATTATCGATTACTTTTATTGGTTTTATCGATTTTTTGTAAATTTTGACATGCGAGGCTGGGATTTTGCACAGGGGGTAATCGAGCATGTTGATTACGAACACAATATTAGTTTTCAGGATCGTCCATTACTTTTATCGATTTTATCGATTTTTTTGTAAAGTTTGACCTGCGGGGCTAGGAGTTTGCACAGGGGGTAATCGAGCATGCAGATTACGAATACAATATTAGTTTTCAAGATCGTCCATTACTTTTATCGATTTTATCGATTTTTTGAAAATTTGAGCTAGGGGGCTGGAATTTGGCACAGGGGTGTAATCGAACATGCTGATCACCCCCCTTGGGGGTGATCAGCATGCTCGATTACCCCCCTGTGCCAACTCCCAGCCTCCTAGCTCAAACTTTGCAAAAAAATCGATAAAATCGATAAAAGTAATCGATAATCCCGAAAACCAATATTGTATTCGGAATCCCCATGCTCGATTACCCCCCTGTGCGAACTCCCAGCCCCGTAGCTCAAACTTTGCAAAAAAATCGATAAAATCGATAAAAGTAATCGATAATCCTGAAAACCAATATTGTATTCGGAATCCCCATGCTCGATTACCCCCCTGTGCCAACTCCCAGCCCCGTAGCTCAAACTTTGCAAAAAAATCGATAAAATCGATAAAAGTAATCGATAATCCTGAAAACCAATATTGTATTCGGAATCCCCATGCTCGATTACCCCCCTGTGCCAACTCCCAGCCCCGTAGCTCAAACTTTGCAAAAAAATCGATAAAATCGATAAAAGTAATCGATAATCCTGAAAACCAATATTGTATTCGGAATCCCCATGCTCGATTACCCCCCTGTGCCAACTCCCAGCCCCGTAGCTCAAACTTTGCAAAAAAATCGATAAAATCGATAAAAGTAATCGATAATCCTGAAAACCAATATTGTATTCGGAATCCCCATGCTCGATTACCCCCCTGTGCCAACTCCCAGCCCCGTAGGTGGACTCGGCAAAAAAATCGATAAAAATCGATAAAATCGATATCGATCGATGACGAAAAGTAGCCTATGACACCCGCCGGGGCCCGTAGTGTATGTGTGCCAAGTTTGGTCCGGATCGGTTCAGAAATGGAATTTTCTATTCGGAACATACGTACACACAGACAGACAGACATACAGACAGACAGACATACAGACAGACAGACATACATACAAACAGACATTCAGCTTTATATATAAGATTTCGCGAATACACATCCTTTAATTCAACTGGATCGGCGGCTGGAGGACGAACCGCCGCACCCGCGGCGCAGTCTGGGCCTTTCTCGCGAGCGTGCTCTCTGATCATTCCCTGGCCTTGATAAGGCCTCGGCCCGGCTTTCGGCCGCCAATCCTGTTGATTTGAAGAGTTAGGCTGCGTTCATACTGATCCCGAAGTTCGGGAATGTTCATACTGATCCCGAAGCGGGAACAGTTCCAGCACAGCGCTCGAACTGAGCATTGTGCTGGAACTGTTCCCAGACTTCGGAAACAGTATGAACGCAGCCTTAGCTGTTGGATGGCCCTCTCTACAAAAAATTGTGTTCCAGAGCAGGGATGACCTACTAGATGTGGCATTGCGCGTTCTTATTGAAAACTTCTAGAACTTTCCTTTTGAACTCTTTGGAAGTTAGTAACACTGAGGAAGTTCTGTTGATGATTGTATAATTGAAAATAATGCTTTTTGTTCTATAATTTTTCTATTACTTACGTATGTCCTCTCTTATCTGCCGAATAAGCTCATCTGTATCAGCCTCGACGAGACTGTCCTTAGTCAAGTGATGAATGATGCCTGCTCCAAAGCCGTCACCCAAGACATTCACCGAAGTTCGGATTCGGTCACTCAAATTTGTCCGGAGTACAAATTGCTGAAGGCTGAAAAATGTTAAAACTCACAGCAACCAGTCGACAGTCAGCAGTAAGCTAAGATCTTTTGCTGGTAGACCCACTGTAGTCAGAACAATGACGATGGTGTCGAGTCCTGCGGGTACAGAACCAGATCCAATTGAAGCAACCGTCGTCGTGACACTAAACAACAGGTTTGCATTCGTGATTTAAGAAGAGACACGTTACCTGATTGTTAACAATTCGAGGAGAGTAAGTTTTACATTATGGAGCTGGGCTATAAAGATCACAGCAACAGCCTCATATAAAGCGGTGCCATCCTGAAAAGCAAGAACCAAAATGGTTTCTGACTAGTAATGAAATACAACGATATAACAGTTTTATTCTTTGGTCTATAAAACCTTTGGAGCATCTCCCTTGAAGCGGACCTGAGTTGATCGTAGGACGCCTCAGTCCGGCATCCAGCGAGCTATTGATTTGGATGTTGATGGTTTCATAGAAATGACAAGGGTGTGCGTTCTTCGAGAAGAAACATCATTACTATTCGTGCTAGCATGTTTGAACGGATAACTGATTGCGATGCAAAGCTCCCTGGTTCGATATCGGCTATCGGGATTACTTTTTGCGGCATCGGCACGCAATCATTGCTAACGACAGTAACAAAAAGATGATAACCGCAATCAAAAGATTTATCCAGCAAATAGATAAATGGAACAAAATCGCAATATTTTAGTGCGTGGAAAACCACAAATCATTAAACTAATTTTTGAACAGAAAAACGATGAGATAAACAAAGAGATTTTACTCAACCAGATTTTTACGAATATAATGCACCCTGCAAAGAAAAAAATCAGCTTTCCCCTGTTCTTGCCTGCAATTAGCTGTTCATTGATTCTTTGTATTCGTAGGCCCTAAAAATGTGCAGTTTCGCGCACTCTAGCCCGCAATATTATGTCGCATTACGTACCCCGTAAGTTACTAATGAGCAACTTACGAGATTATACTCTACGTCTCATTCTTTGCACACCATATCCTTGAGATCACCTCGAAATCGATGCTGCTCTTATGGATCAGGTGAGATTACTGCGGCACGTGCTCTGACGCTCACCTGTCAGGTCAGATCGCGTTTTTATAGCATAAGGGAGTGACCGCTCGTCAGTTTATCTTACGAACCTTATCCGAAGCCCTCATTTCAGATCATCTAACTTGACCGAGCTTTACTACGGGCCTTTGTGTACGAGCATAAAGTGCATCAGGACTGAGGGACAAAATAAGCTTTTTTTTGTTTCATTATATCCATTCGTGATAACAATGCGCTTTTTGTGGTTCATCTTTCAAGAGAATGGTACTTGTTTGGATTGGCCACTTCGACTTCTGACCATTTCCTTGTCAGTCGACGAAGAATAAATGAAGAAGACTACAGTATCAAAACCACAGTTGAATTCCGTTACTTATAAAAGATAAATCAATGAAAATACAGGGTGTTTCCAAAAAAAAACGTATCGAACGTTTGACCATTAATATCTCTTTTCTGAAGAAGTCTTTTCCCTTACTTCAGGTACCATTTTGTAGAGCTGGCTTCAACTTATTGCATTATAGAACGAATCACTCATCTCTCTTCATTACTGTGGGATTACGATAGAAACTTCAAAGAGGGTTTTAAGCAATGAAAGGCCATTTTGCTTCAGAAAGGGAACAAAACAGCCTCAAAACTTTTGTACTGGGCTAATTAGAGTTGCTGATTATAAGTGTAAAGTTCCCAACTTATTATGATGCTTCATTGAAGAGTTATGCCAGGTAAGAGGTAGCGGCAATTTCTTCAATTCCTAAAAAGTGCGGTTACACCGTTTAGAAGGCTTCTAATCTCGTGAATAGTTGAGTAATAAACCAAGCGTTTATAAAAACCCTAATACACAAGATTTCACATTTTTTTGAAAAATTTTGAAACGACAGCTTTTTCCACATTGACACCATAGAGAGATGGGTGATTCGTTCTATAATGCAAATCTAGGTTGAAGCCAGCTCTACAAAACGGTACTTGAAGCAAGGCAAAAGATTTCTTGGGAAGAGAGATACTAACGATCAAACGTTCGATACATTTTTTTGGGACACCCTGTATGTTGCCCCGGTCGTGTCTTGTGAAATGGAGGAAAGCCTAGGAAAATCAAAAAATATGAGCGTCTAAGCAAGGTACTAAAATTCTTTGCATTGAAAGGATAAACAGGAGTTAGAGCTTTTATGGTCATAGCACCATATCAAAGGGGAAAAAAATGACTTACCATAGTAATAGTGGCGCCGAGAGGCAGCACAAAACGAGTCACCCGTCTGTCTATTTTCAGATTTTCTTCCAGAGACCGAAATGTGACAGGCAAGGTGGCGGTACTGAATTGAATATTATTTAACTTTCAAAAAACCAATTCAGCTCTTGGAGCGTGTGATGTGATCTTTCAAACTTTTTGCAAACTTCAACAGCAATTCTACCATGCAAAAGCAAAAATTGTTCTAGTTTACATTTTCAATACGATTTTCATTACTAGCAATTGCTAGATCAAAATTTGCAGACAGTTCCGGATTTGCTGGAATAACAATGATTGTTAAGAAGATTCACCTGGAAGCAGTTCCAAAAGCGGTGGCAAGAGCTTGAAGCATTCCAGTCATATAGGCAAATGGACTCTTCCTGGTTACCACGAAGTACAACAAGGGTAACGTCAGCAATGAGTGGATCATCAAACCGCAGATTACTGTCACCACATACATTGCCAAAGCTAAACCAGGGTAACTTCAAAAAAAGCGAAAAAAAACAAAGACTGCAAACATGTGCCTACCTTGTGCCGTTTCTGTTAGATTATCAATATCTACAATGTTCTTGCAAACTAGTGAAAGGATCCCAATGGGATAGCACCTGAAAAATATTTTTTCTCAGTACTGTGAGTATGACAATTTTTTCAGCAGGTTAATCTTGCTTTGCCCTTTGGAAAGATACTTTCCCACAATTTTTCACATGGTTTCTCATGTTCCATATTTTCATTACAATTTATTACCAAGCAAGAAAGCGATTGTTAGCTTTAATAATATGGATTACGAAATTATGTACTTACCACATGAGTGCAGAGATCCATCGCATAATTATGGCATCTAGCACAATGAAAAAATTAATCATCAGCCTAGCTTGGTCTCCCAAAATGCTTAATATAACACCAAACCCGCTGCAAAATACAATCAGCCCTGCAAAATACATCATTTTAGGGGTCCAACAAATTTTGCGAAAAATGTTTTAAACCTAAGACATTCATTTCGTTTGTATAGGTTAGTTGAGGTTTCTGCAATATGACTTCTGTCATGTTCGAAGTGCCATTCGTCCGCTGAACTTTTGGCTTGATGGGAACATAGTAGGTCTGGACTTGTTGGAAAGTAGCCTGGATAATATTTTCCGGGAACATGTTTCTGAAAAAAAAACTGTTAAAAGAATGCTTTGGCCTTTTTTGCTAACCTTATTTGATCCAAGAATGTGTCCAGCGTGGACAAAGCAGTATTTTCTAAGGTTCCCTCGCCAAGCGCATGAATAAGAGCTGGGTCGCCAGGATGAATGGAAGAAACTAGGATTATTCCTGTCTGAATGAATAACATTGAAGACAGTACACTTTCAATTCGTAATTTTATTTCTTAAGTGGAACTTTTCTTCAATATCACTGATGTCCCGTCACTTTAATTGTTAAATTTCGGAACGCTGCAATAAAGAAATTGCAAAAGCAAACAGCAAACACGTATGGTTCATCGTAAATGAGAATTCAAAAGATTAATTCCCGCCCAGTACCGCACAATTTCCGAGAGGACTAATCAGCGTTGTTGAGTACTGTAGTGGGTAAAAGCTTGAAGGTTATTTCCTGATCACGAACAACACTTTGGACTACCGCCTGCACAATGGCTTAGTAAAGGTCTGTTAGCCAGTACAGTACCGCTCGTAAACTGTGAAAAAATCACCGCACTCCACAGGAGTTCGCTGAACTTTGCGCCGCATCACCATAATCTTGCTTCAAAGCGGATGAATCTTGATTCAAAAGCGACTTCAACTCTGCTTGACGAGGTGTACTTCTGATACGTAGAAGTGCCGATCTTGGCACAACAGTCGGTCAGATTTTACAGATGCAGATTTTTACTCAAGGTAGGCTACTTCATGTGCAAGGAATAGGGCACTCTGGGCGAACTACTGTAAACAAGAATTTAAAAAGATCCGTGAAATTTGACCGTCACCGGGCCGAAACAGGCAATTCAGAAGATGCATCTCGTCAAGTGCTTTTGAATAATTCGCCCATTTGGAGAAAATATCCGATGCAACGCGAATTTTAGGGAAATTCAGCAGAGAGCGGTGATTTTTCTTACAAATCACGAGCGTGGTGTCCAGAACTGTTATGAGTCTAAAATAAAAAAATTTGAGGAAAACCTACGAACGTGGACAGGAATGTGGTAGTCATGTAGTAGATAACAGTGACAATACCAATCTGTCTAGCATCACGAGCTCGAACTTGTGCCAGAGCTAAAGCAATGTATCCCAATTTTGACAAAAATATAAAAATTGATAATTTGCAAAACCAACCTGATATTACAGATGAAATAATAAGAGGTAGAATCATCATCTCTACAATCTGCATGAAAATTTCGCCGGGGAATCCGATCAAGCTGATTGTGTCATTGCTGAAAGAAGACATCATTGAATGAAGCATATTTAGGTTCAGTTAAGTTCGACCAGCTTACGGTATTGCTGGTTATCAACTTATTAGACTATGTTTAGGTGATCGACCAAAATACCTTGGATTGAAAGGCCGAATCACGAAGCCGAGGACGACACCTAGCACAACAGATTCGATAGTAAGCACAAGAAGGAGATCCTTCTTGAGTCCCATGGCTAGTCGACTTCACCCAGTGCAAAGGCTTGAACTCTGCAATAAATTAGTATACTGATTGTGAGTAAATATTTGAGAGAAACTGACAGGCAATCGAAGAAGTGCCGAAAGTGGCAGTTGACAAATGTTTAGCGAACAACAGTTTAATAACGACAGTGTGATTTCCGTGTATGTGATTTGGCGATGAGAATGTCTAGATTGCTTTCGGAAGTTTAGTCATGATATAATAATTTTCGAGCGCAAGAATTTGGTAGAATTCAGTTTTTAACCTAGCCTCAGCCAGGTCAAAGGTTCCAGGTTATGGTTACTTTTGGAGTTGATATTTAGCTTACTCATTAAATCTGATTTAAAAAATTCGATTTGCACCTTTTGTTTATGCAGCCAAAACACGAACACCATCTATGATAGCACCCCATTTTTAAGTTCGTACGACCGAAATGAATTAATTCTGCTTTGACGTTGTCTTGGCGAATTTTTTTGTTTTCAGTTTTCGATTCTTTTTTTGTGAAAAGCAGACCAAATTATCGAATTGTTTGAAGATGTGAGGTTGTCCCTAAGTCATGCACTGGAACTTATGGAAAGTTTGTTTAAAATCGTCAAAAACCGTATCATATATCAAAGCTGTCGTATTCTATCAAACTTATTACAGACTTTATTTTGAGCGAAACTTCGAACTAAAATTGTAAATATCTTTATTATCAGCAACATCCGATTAGCACATATTTTTCGTAGTCAGAAAGTGTGGGCAAAAAATCAAAACGTACTCCGATTTCTAAAAATATTATTAAACGCATAGCATTATTGACCAAAATTACCAAAATTTACCAAAATTACCACTAACAAAATGGTAAATGCAACTTGAGTGTTTTTTCTTCCTCTAAGCTTGCGAACCCATTTTTGCTTTGTACACCACCAAAGTGCATGTATCCTTATCTTTGAACTATACATTCTGAGTGATTTTTTGAAAGTGTATATCATGAATTGAAAAAAATAGTTTTGAGAGTTTCAGTAAAAGCGATTAGGGTAAGCAGATGTTTCTCTTGGTTCAAATTTCGGTTGGAAGTCGATCAGAATTATTACTAAGTAAGCTCCAAAAACTATCATGAGAAAGATGAGCGTATATATTAGGTCATTTCAAAAGTTCGTTCCATTATTCTCTAAAAAATCGTAATTCACTGCTGTTTGCTTGCATTTGCATGGGATAAATTTTTTCAAAATGCAGATGCCATGCAGTTTCAAAGTATAGCTTAAATGCATCTCACTATCCACAAGTGCAGTGTTAAAAATGCAAATATAAGATCGCTCAAATTTTTTTAATTTTAGAAAATCTTACCAAAAATCCACAAACCTTACAAGAAATACGAAACAAGCACAAGCATATGTGTCATGATCACATCTTTTTAACTAGGGAAAAATCTTGCTGAGCAAATGTTCCTTTCAAAAGTTATGATTTTTTTTACTAAAATGCCCTGCTAGTTTTTTACGAAAATCAACCTGCTCGATCGGTTCGAACTCCACTTAGCTAAAGGCTGCTGCATGACGAAGGCGCAGAAGCAGTATCAGTTGAGCGAGCGCGAACGCGGCGCGCGCGTATTCTCACCGTTGTAAATCCTGCGCCTCATGCGCTGTGCGGCTAAATAGCCGCGATTGCGCCCAAAGGTATTGCGCCTTCGTCATGAAGCAGCCTCTAAACAGAGCAGGCCAAAAAACGTATGTTTACGATTTTTTCGGCTTTCGCCGTGACTTTTCCAGGCTTTTTGGGCATGCTCAATAATTGCAAATCCAAACTAATTCTCTTCATTTGCTTCTAACTCTCGATCTTTCCCGTTCCAGTTCATGGAAAAGAAACTATAGTAATAAGCATAATTTTCACTATCGGACAAAAACACTTCCAGAATTTTTCGTGACCCTGCTTGGAAAATGCCAATTACGAGCAGCTTCGTTCAATTCCTTCTATCTTTCAAATTTTCTCAAACTAGTTAATGGCATAGGTACTGCTTTCAGAGCATGGTTTTATCTAAACAAAAATAATGCTAAAAAAATCTATCGAGAAGAAAGAAAGTTATGATTTTTCGTACCTTGCGAGCGAACTTTTGAAATGGCCTAATATATAGATGTTTGCAACAAATTTAAATTTGCTTTAAGTGGCAGAAAATTAGGAAAAAAGAAAAATTTGTAGACTTCAACGATTGACGTAGAACATCCAATATTCCCTAAAAATTTATAGAAGCAATGCAGCAAGATTCATATTTTAACTAAGACGAGACTGGTGAGAACTTTGTGTGGATCACAAAATCGAAAACTGAAATAACGCAAATGGCAGCGGTCTTTTCGGCACTTGCCTACCTTCGTCATAGAACTGGCCGACGGGTGAGGATCTGCATAAGTAGCATAATGTCGACGCAAGCGCATTTCAATGTGGTTTCCGCTGTACGTATTAATAACTACGATTCGGCATCTACCGATGGTCCGAGAGTCTGTTCCTGAAAGAACTATAAGGAAAATATCAACCGATTACTCGAAATGTAAAATGATAATGCTTCGAAAAATGCTGTGCTTATAATGTTTTGGGCTTTCTTCGGCAGACCTATCTGTGATTGATCGATATACCGACCACTCAACCCTTGTACTCGTATGAATACCTTAAAGACAGTGACTCGGCAGATTCTCGACTTGAAGTTTAACCTGGGGTAATTCAAGGCGATGATTCTGAAGATCCACCTTGAAGAGCGCGAAGATGGCAAAAATCACTATTCCCAAGGCCTCCCATTTTAAATTTGGACGAGTGTGCGCTGTGCGCTCGGACCTGCTCTTTCTCACGTTGGGGTGCAAGCAACCTTCCATGTCAAAATCTCGGGATGTTCGATTTTGGCGAGCTGCTGCCTTCAAGATCATTTTGCTTTCAACGTGGGAGCAACCGTAGATTACTATTAAGTTGTCTCATTATGCTTTTCGACTTCATTCATAGCTTTTTGAGTCATATATCCCTATATTCTAAGGTACCGTTCGATAGAGCAAAGCAAGCTCTACAAGGTGGTTTCCAGACAAGTTTTTTTACATAAAGCTTGACCCATTAGAGTTTGAAGCCAAAATCTGGAAAGTTTGAGAAGCTCGAGAAATCTGCAAAATATCGAATCTTTGATTAAAAACTTTCTGTGGATTGCTCAATTGTTCAAGCACATACTCTTCAAATTAGACGTTCAAGTGCACTTATTAAATTTTTGGACGGCTACAAATCGAGGAAGGAATCGTTGAGGCTACGATTGTTTGAAGAAGGTGCACGAACTTTTGGTCCAACCTAATGCTTAGTCTCGAGAGGGTCAGGAAAATTCAACAGAGGATTGCATTGCAGAATAGAGTATTTTGTACATTAGAGCCAAAAATGACCAAAGGCAATATTTCGGTATATGCCCGACTTCTTCCTTTCGAAATTTTGGGGGTGAAGACAGATGAAAAATCAACCAAGTCTTTCGCAGAGTTTTTTAAAATGCGGAAACGCCCTCGGCAGTAGCAAGATGCGAGTTCAACAGCAAATTCGAGCTCCTATCATCTTGATTGCACTAAATATGCTTTATCTCAAATATTTTGGTTGTGCCAAATATGAAAGAGATGTATGTGAGACTAAGTTTGGTAATCACCTATCAATTACACCTATCTATACATACCTGCAAAGACGCTGAACACCTAGCCAAACATCCTTCAAGAGGGATGCCCAATGCACCTTCTAAATATTATAAATGAGGAGTATGAGGATCTTGGCAAAAATTGATCTTTCAAGAAGATTACATGGAAACTGGAGATTTGGATGGATGGTATGCCATGTATAAATGCATTTAATTTTTTTCCTGCTTGTGAAGTATTCGTTAGATACTAGCTGGCTTACCCGGCTCCGCCAGGCCCTGTCAAAACAGTGTGATAAATATCCATCCCTATCCCTCTACAACCTTTCCATGTGCCCACTTCTACACTTCATTTCCCGTTCCCTGTGTTGTTTTCGAAATCAGCATGCCCACTTACCCCCCTGTGCCAACTCCCAGCCCCGTAAATCGAACTTTTTGAAAAAACAATAAAATTGGTAAAAGTAATAGATAATACCAAAAACTAATATTGTATTCGTAATCAGCATGCTCGATTGTTACCCCCCTGTGCAAACTCCCAGCCCCGCAGCTTAAACTTTACAAAAAATCAATAAAATCGATAAAAGTAATCGATAATTCTGAAAACTAAAATTGTATTCGGAATCCTCATGCTCAGTTACCCCCCTGTGCGAACTCCCAGCGTCGTAGGTGAACTCTGCAAAAAAAAATCGATTAAAAAAAATTGATATCCATCGATGACGAAAAGTAGCCTATGACGCCCGCCGGGGCCCCGAAGTGTATGTGTGCCAAGTTTGGTCCGGATCGGTTCACAAATGGAATTTTCTATTCGGAACATACGTACAGACATACAGACATACAGACAGACATACAAACAGATATTCAGCTTTATATATAAGAATTGGGTTCCATAAGTTCGTATTGTTTTCCTTCTAGTCCTTATTTCCCTAATAGGCAGTCGAATTACACCAAAGTGCGCATATTAGAATAAGCGATGATCATCTTTTCCAAATAAGTAGTTAGTTTTTATGATAAGCTGATCCGCTTTAATCCCTCAACTTGCAAAGATAAATTTCTTAAGAGGCAAAAAGAATCATTGCCGGCATCTGCTCATATTTTCTTTGAAAAGACATCTTGCGCAGATTTTTCTTGCTGAATAATATACAATGTTGCGCTCTTTCCGTCAATATGAGACAAAAAGACTGAATTGCTCCGAAGAAACCAAGAATCTACAGGGTGTCCTCTGAACAAGACTTTTTGCAGGACGGGCAGGAGGTTCTACACAAAAAATTAGTTAAGAACAACTCACTCAACTTTACTGCAATATCTAAACGGATGTCTACTGCGAAAAAAAGCGTAATAAACAGGTCAAGTAAGTTTATCCGCACGACAAAATATGGCTGCATACGGCAAACGTCGTCATAACTGTCCCGCAAGACTTGAAAAGATTGTACATACACTACCACCCAGTGTACTCCTAAGATCTTGCTCTAGCAAATTATTATCTTTTTCGTTCGATCGCAAATCATATGAACGGCACTAGATTTAATTCTGTAGACGATCTCAGCCAGTAGTTAGACGACTACCTGGAACCAGACCAGCTGAGTTTTGAAGAAAGGAGATGAAAATCTGATAGCAAGATGGCAGAAGGTTGTGCGCAAGAACGGAGCATGCATTTTCGGTTGAATTTTGGTAATCAGGAGTCGGCACGAGGTGGCTTCTCAAAATTGCAAAAAAACGAAATCCCCTTTGATTTCACAATGAAAGTACGATATCCGCAATGAGATGTTAGAAGAGAAAATAAATGAAGAGGAACGGAACAATATGAAACAAAAAAGCATCAAACAAATGCGATGATATTCGAAGGGGCTGTAACTGAGCGGGAAGGAGGGGGTTTGAGGCGACTTAGGAATCATTTTGTAGGGTTTGGAATGTAGATGAAATTTATTCCAGGAAAGTAAAAAATTTATGTGAAAGAGGGAAAATTTGTGACTTTTCTTTGAGGTAACCATCCCAACCGAAATGCAAGATGATCGGTATGCAATGAACTCGTAACAGTTGTCTTGTTGAGATTGGCGATGAAATCGCGTGATGTAACCGCCATGTAACCGGACCCGGCCCCAAAGACAATTATTGATGCCGTTCATTACCTTTTTTTGTCTCCCAGACGCTTTGTCGAACAGATTGCTTTTATATATTGTCTTTTTGCTGCATTTACATTGAACATTTTTGCACAGAGTTTTTACTATACTTAATGTACCATCACGAGCTTTGATGCTTCTACTCATACGTTATTCATCACTAAAGAAAAATAGTGTTTTCAAGTATTCTCTAAACAAAATAACAAAAAACAGAAATTTGTCAAAGCCTTTCAATGTCTGAAAAATTAATAGTTACAACTGCAAACTACTAAGTTGTTCAGAATCTTCCATCAAAACTTCCAGCTTCCATCGAAACCGGGGTCTCTTCATCGCGGGTTTGGTCGGGGCGGGTATGGTCGGGGAATATTCAACATCTCATAGATATTGTGTCCCCTCCAGTATCCCGTGGATAATTCGGCGAGGCAAGCGACTATGACCTGAAAGGGAAGATCGAGATTACTGAGAGCTTAAAAACATTGAACATTGCATTACCACGATAGCTTTCCAAAACATTTTGATGCTAGCAATTCTTGTTAGAATTTTGTCTGCAATTATCTATACTTATGTTGATGGAGTCATGTTAACGACGAGACAAGAACAAGATATCATGGTTGGTAGTAAAGCTGTCAAAGCTCAGAGTTATAACTCACAGCTAACTCTGATTGTGTGTTACCTTTGTGGTAACACACACCTTCTTGAGCCCCTAAACAGATGATTAAGCAAAGCAAATTTGGAAAGCGATTACATGGCAGGATACTAAGCGATGGTTTATTCCATGTAGCCCAACATTGTCCAAGTCATTCTGCATATAATACAGCGCCACCAAACGCGCAGCTAAGCTCTGCGATAACACTGAGTTTGATTCGCGTTCCAGTCTATCGTGGAACTCAGAGGTAACTCTGAGTTTGGACAAAGAAAGAGAGGTAGTGCACAAAAGAGGAGGGGCAGCTAAAAAGTCATTCGAGTACATTTTGGTCGTAATATCTTCAGCAGGCATGATTGCGGTATCGTGGTGCACTGCGATCTATACAATTTTACAATTTTCTAAAGTGTTGGCCCAGGGGGGGGGGTATTCGATACGCTGATCACGAATAGGGTACCCATTGCTTGCCATGTAATCATACAGCCGGCCTACAGTAGGTTTAGGGTAGACAGAAGAAAGTCGTTGACAAAACTAATGCCGGGAGGTTACTCGGGGCGCTGGTAACAAATATGGTATGCATTTCTGGCTGCTGATCCATATAGCGGAGTTACGGTAACCATATACGGTAGAAGTGAGAAAAAATAAAACTGACCAAAACTTCGACAGTTGGGGTTACTCGGGGTGCTGATCACGGACAGTCTATATGCTCCGTACTCTGATGTCTTTTTGGCGATTACGGTAGGTATAGGTATACTGTAAGTGAATCAGACCATATAATAAGGGCAAGTTTTTGCACGGAGAGTTTGATCTGTCGCAGACCCTAATAGTCCATCCGTGCCATTGCATATGCCATCCGCTCTCTTCATTATTTGAAGCTTTCAGCCGCGCAAAAGAACAATCCGTGCGATAAACCACCACTTCTCAACAGAAATGAAAATGAGTGGGCTTTGATATAACATGTTTGGACATGCTTTGTGTTAATTCAATGAGCACATTACGGCAAAACATATTTGAGTTTGAGGTGTTGTTATGGCCCAGCGGTTTAGTGATGAGATGATTGCGCTAGACCGAACAAGTTCGAGTACCAACTTTGAGGTCGCTTTTGCAACAAAGTGCTAACAGCTCCTCAAACAGCGAAATTCCGAGCTTGAGAGTTAAAACTTGGAGCCTTGAGAGCGAAACTCAGCGTTTCAATAAGCATATCTCTGAGTTTCAAAAACGACTCAGACTTATCTCTGAGTAAACGTGGAGTTTTAAACTCGCGAGTTTCGAAAAGATTACCGCCTATCCATGAGAAATGCATATCAGAGTGCACATACTGAACAGCAAAATGAGACCAAACGTGCCAAACCGTTTTTATAAGTAAATCTTTGCTTAGTTGATTTGATACATTAAGGAAACGCAGGGCGTAATGCGGCAGATATTGCAGCAATTTGCCATTGTTATTCTTTAGTGCAGATAAACAATACTCAACGGTGAGACTTAGAAAAAGCAGATCGACGTTTTCAAAATGCTTTTTTGCAATTACAGTCTATCTTACATAACTTTACATATTAAGGAGGTGCCCTATATTTCTTCTTTCGCAATAGTCGCATGAAACCTTTCAAAGTTCTTATTCTACAATTGAATATAAAACTAGGCTGCCTTAGATGCTTACATTACATATGCGTCAAGCTTAAAAAGCTCGCAACACAAAAGATCATAGTGTTCAAAAGTCTAATAAGGTTTGTATGCATGTACATCCTGGCCAAGGAGCAGGGGGAAATGTAATTAGACGCTTTATATTTTGGCAAGATTCAAATTATCCATTGCTTTTGCATATCCAAGAGGCTTTATCATCCTTAAAATTAAACATATGAAGTCGGCTGTACAAGGCCAATTCTGATTCGGTATCACGCTTGTAGAATCTCTAGGGTTTGCATTTCCCTTCAAGACCTTTCAACTTCCTACAAACACAATACATATGAAATAGAGATCTGAAGATCAAATCCGACATTGTTGAGCAGACTTGAAATCAGACAAATGGAATTTAGAAGATGATAGTCTAGCGATGGACACCTGAGCAAAGGCTTATTGAGCATTTCATTATTCTGAAACTCCTTTTGCTTCCATTATGTTTAGCCCTAAAGTATCATATCCTCAAAATTCTTTGCGATTTTTTGTATTTAGTTAAAAGATGGATTTCGCGAAATTCTATATTTTGGCAAAGTCATCGGTGAAAAGTAGCAGCTGCTCTGTGATTCCACATTATAGGAAGGGACGCAGGAGTTCCTAGCACCTCCGTTCGCACCAGCATTCACACTCCAGAAGCCTCCTCGCACCTTCGCGCAACAGAGGTCAAACCCCGCCCCCGCTCCTACTCCTTCATTGGGCTCATTCGAAGGCTGCGAGCTGAGGGAATGGCATAGGCATGCAACGAAAACCCACGAAAAATCGTCATCTTGCGAGGATAATCTTCTCGTTATTGCACTTTAAGCAAAGACACTTTAAAACTCAAAAAAACCTTACAGTTCTCTAGGTAAACAGTGAGTATATTTTTGGTTCGAAAATGTTTTGTGAAAAAAATGCGTTGATAAGTTGATTTTCACTACAAAAGATTCTTCACAGTTTTTGTTTTTGCATTACCATAAATTAAAGCTTGCCAAACGTACGAGGCATTGCTATGAACGTTTCAAAGTTCTTGAGGGTAACTATCGCCATTTTGATACTACCACTTTGGCACTATTTACAACTAGACTCAATACGAAATTTGCAGGGCAATCTTTGAGAACTTGTTTCTCTGAGGTGCCCACAAAAAGATTGGGATAACTATTTTGAAGGGCAAACCCCACTTCTTTTGCTGAAGAAGCCATGAACTTAGGTTCAAATCTTAGTAAGTGATTGAATTTTCTTTGATTTAGGCGAGAACTTTTGCATTGACCTATATAGTAGGTCAGAATCATTTTGACATGCTAACTGAAAATTTACAAAATTTCAGCGGCTATTTAGTAAATTAGTTGCAAAAGTATCAACAAATCTTTTCAAAAAAGATCTTTCTTATCATTCATTATCTTAAAAAGCACCAAAACATGAATTCGAAAAAAGGGGAAATTTTAGTTCTGAAAACGCAAATTCTTTGAAAAAGTTGTTGAAAATGATGAGAAGCTCAAATTATTCGGTTGATAAGTAGAGATCTAGCTTCAAATCTGTTCTAAAGCGCAATATGTCAAATTTCGCTTATTCTGGATAGATTCTGTCGTTTTTCTATAGAGCGCAGCAAGCTCTATAAGGTAGTGTTTTGAAAAGTTGCATAACTTTGATCGACGCGAATTTGTAGCCAAAAAACTAAAAAATCAACTTTCCGAAAAATCCGAAAAAAATTAGAAACTTCATAAAAAATTGCAAAAATTGCACTTGTGCAACTTGCTCAATGGATATGTTTTCACATCAGAGGTCCTATATACTCTGGCTGAAAATCGAGAAAATGGAAGTATCTTTGCTTCCGACATAGCGATGCCCACAAATAGACTTTATAACTTCTCATTTGTCACCTTCCATCCCTCATTATTCATCCATTTAGCAGAACACATTGGGACTATTCTCCAAGTCTGCACAACTCGGAATAAGATTAGCTAGTGGGCGGAGCAAGTGGGCGGAGCCGTCTAAAAGGTGCGAAGGCCCCTTGGAGGTGCTAATTACCCCTGCAAGGAAAGGCGGCGAGGCTTTGGGAACTCCTGGGCCGCCGCCCCACATTATAGCGAATCTCAGCTTGGAAGTCAATGTCGTGCCGAGTTGCTGCAAAACTGGCAACACGCCGTAACTCATAACTCTTGATTCTTAGGTTAGCAGAGGAAGAGAGAATGTTATCCGACAGATTAATATAAAGTGTCTTTACATAATTTTGTTTTGATTTCAGTTTCCTGTATACCTAACTCTACTATGGTATTGTGCTGGTTGTAAGTAGCAAATTTTGCAGCCATTGAACTGATTGCGTAACGAGTTCTCTTTTTTTGACTGGCGAAATTTTAGGTTGTCCGATAATGTTCCACATTCTGTCTTTCTGGAAAATTCCGAAGACTTTTCGAAAATCTGAATTTGCGACACGGTTAGGACAAAGCAGGGCACTCATCAGCGATATTCCAGAAAAACAGAATTTGGAACAGAGTTTGTGCGACACCATCAGCAAATCGAAACCAAATGCACAAATGACCAACGTAGGCAGTTTTATGAACAAACACAAACTACGTTTTTCTCTGATTTTTACTTTGCACTTGTGAATTTACTCTTTTATAATTTTTTAGACTGTGTGTTGGCACTGTCTTCTACATAGACGCACTCCAGCGCCTCTAGCCTTTCCAAAAAGGGTGAAAAAACACAAAAAAATCAACTTTCCTGAGTTCTTCGTTTTACGTGCATCCTATAGAAATAAATACAAAAAGCTTTGAAAAATTTTTGCGTTTTTTGAAGAAGTTTTCTCCGTTCGAATGTCGGTAATTGCTAGAATGACACACTGACCTTTTACAGCTCATATGAAGTGTGTAGGCATATCCGTGTCATGCCCCATATTTGCTAGGCACTGTAGACTATGCCCTCACCGATCATCATCTTGTCCTATCTCTGGTGTTTTCCTGGAAGAATGCCATCTTATTTACAGAAATGAGAACAAAACTGATTTACAAGGGAATGATACTTGGTGACCGCAGCTTTTTGCAGTGAGATGTATACCAGTAGAAACGCCTTCAAACGCTGATTTCAAATCTATATTTATTATCTGCTACTCTCCGAAACAAGATATGGAATTTTTTCCTATCAATTTCCCGAGACCTAGGCAGTCAGAGTTGTCTTAGGCGAGACGGTTTTCCTGAATTTAATATAAATTTTTATCTTGTTACTAATCCAACGGTATTAGTATATCCTGACATCCAAACTTTCGGAAAAGAGCGTACAGCATATACCGAAGGCAGATTGGAATCAGCGCTCCAAGACGCATTTGATAGTGAAGAGTTCACATTGAAAGGCCACGGACACCAAGTGTCCTTCCCTTATTAGTCAAAATGCGTTATCTTGCGCACGGATAGCGGAAGCGACATTAGTGATGAATAGTCCCTTGACTCTGTTCGCATGCCGTAAGCACGAGAACTTTCGAAAGCTTCTGAGATTTTGAAGAAATAAAATAAAAAAGTGCAACAGAAATCAGGCAACGGTATCCAGCTAATATAAGTGTCATTATATATTTTGTTATATTTTCAGTTTTTACCGCAGTAAGTGAACTTTGTAATCAGGCTTTAGGGTAGATTCGATAGAGCACAGCAAGGTGTACAAGATGGTTTCCGAACATTTACATAAAGCTTGACACACATATAGGTTGAAGCCAAAATCTGAAAAGTGTCAAAAGACCGAGAAATGTTTTGAAATGAACTGTTTTGAAATGGCTCTCATCTTATCTGTCCAATAGGACTTTTTCCGTCCGCTGTAATTCTGCTGACTCTTCCTTCTACTCAGCAACTAGTGGAGTGCCACAAGGTGGTGTATTGTCCCCTGTACTTTTCAATATTTACACAAGTGACCTTCCTGGACTCTTAACTACAGACTACAGAGTTAAGGTTATGGCCTATGCTGATGACATTAAAGTGTTTGCATCCTATGTTGATGCTGATAGAGGTGAAGTTACACAAGCCCTTAGAGACTGCCTGCAGAATATTCTGAATTGGGCCTCTCTTAACAGTATTGACGTTAACCTAACAAAAAGTGCCTGCCTGACAATCTCCAAAAGAAAGGAGAATGGTTGCAGCTTTGAGAAATACGAGCATTCTGGTACCTCTCTTTTTAGGCCTGGACTAATAAGAGATCTTGGGGTGCTAGTTGACCAAGAGCTTCGATTTAGATCCCATATCGAGAAAATAGCACGTGCAGCCCTGCACAGACTCTTCCTCTTGCTACGTGACTTGAAGCATGTTGATGAGAAAGTTTACATCAGAATGTATATGGCTTATGTCCTCCCGCATTTAGAATATGCTAGCCAAGTTTGGAGTCCATATATAAAGAAGGATATCTTGACTTTGGAAAGAGTTCAGATGACTTTTACTCGCATCCTTTTCTATAGACTTATGCCTAACGACGATTACCCTGCTGCCCTCCCGTCCTATAGAAGTAGGTTGGCCCGCTTCAAGCTCCATAGCCTGCTTTACCGAAGGGTTGTTGCTGATTTAGTACTTGCCTTCCAAATATTACGTCTCGAGACTAAGCTTTTGCCTAGTGAATTTTGGGTTTGGAAGCCTTGCCACGGACGTACAGGTAGGTTTAATTTTTACTGGGCTGATTCAATAGGATCAACAAAATTGAACAAGCTTTTTTATAACTCCTTTTTTGTTCGTACTGCACGTTGGATGCAAAAATTGCCTGACTCTGTCATCTCTTCTGTTAACTCAAAATTGTCTAGAAAAAAGCTTTTGGAATGCGACTTTTTGAGTTTGTTAGGCATTGACGAGTCTGAATACTTTTAGATGTAGGGTCTCTTTTACAAGGTGTGTCTTTCGTTTATTTCAATCCGTTTTTTCTTCTCCTCTTTTTTTTTCAGAAAATGGTTAAATTCGGCTGACTGCTTTACATCTTCTTTCTTGCCACGTCTTTTTCATCTGCGATAAGCTTGGGAGTTTAGCTTTCTCTTTAGTTTGTAGTTGTTTTTCTCGGTTTCCTTTTTAGATCCCGCTTGTCGGCGGACTCAAGTTGTGTCGTCCAGTATACGTTGACAACGCATGATCGACTTCTAGTTCTTTTATTTGCCTGTACTACCTTTCCTTTTGTAAGAGTGTAAGATAGATGCCGTTTCGTATTGTTTGATCTTTGGTTTGATGATGTGTCAGTTCAATTCGACTGAGACATATTTGTCGTTCTGGGTCTAATTTTTCTTTTCTTCCTGGTACATAAGGCTAACCTAAGGAGACTGCCCGAAATATTTTTTACCGAGCATATTTCCAGTTTTCCTATTGAGTTTGTGGCTCATCCAGTATGTTCGGTTGTACTAGGGTTGCCTAGTTTGTCGCGCTAGCATGCCCTTTTCATAGTCTCCGTCATACTCCTTGAATGTAGGTCGCTTGCTGGTCAGCGAGGGTGGCATGCGCAGACTCATATGAATATCCTTTATGGCAGCGCTTCTGATAGTTAGTCCTTGTGTTCTATCATTCATTAGTTAGCCTAGAGTGGCGAATGGTCTCAAAAAAAGCTATTTTATTTTTCTGCATTAAGCCTTTCTTGTCTCTGAGTTTGTGTATTTCTAACACTGATTTTTGTTCTCAAGAATCTGTTGGTTACTAACCCGACACTATGGCGCGCCTGTGGCGTATTCAAATAAATAAATAAATAAATAAATCTGCAAGATACCAAATCTTCGATCAAAAACTTTCTGTGGATTGCTCACTTGTTCAAGCACATACTCTTCGCTTAAGTGCACTTATTGAATTTTTGCTAGCAACCAAGGAAGGAATTATCAATGTTATGATTTTCTGAAAAAAGTGCACAAAGTTTTGGTCCAAAATGATGCATAGCGTCAAGGGGGTCAGGAAACTTCAACAGAGGAATGCATAGCAAAATAGCGTATTTTGTATTCTAGATACAGAAATGACAAAAGACAATCCTTCGGTATATTCTGACTACTTCCGTTCGAAATTTTGGGGGTGAAGACAGACGAAAAATCAAGTCTTTCGCAGACTTTTTTAGAATGCGAAAACGTCCTCGACACCTGGCACCTGTAGTAGATGGAGATGCGAGTTCAACAGCAAATAGTTGAGCTCCGCTATCACCTTGATTGCACTATGCTGTCTCGAATATTTTAGTTGTGCCAAATTTGAAAGAGATGTACGTAAAAACAAGTTCGGTAATCACCTTTAATTACTCTTATCTATACATCCCTGCAAAAACGCTGAACACCTAGCCAAACATCCTTCAAGCAAGATGCCCCACGCACCTTCTAAATATTATAATGAATGAGGAGTATGGGAATTTTGGCAAAAGTTGATCTTTCCAAGAAGATTACAGAGAAACTAGAGGTTTGAATAGCTGGTATGCCAGGTATAAATGCATTTAATTTTTTGCCTGTGAAGTCATCGTTAGATATTGGGTTCCATAAGTTCGTATCGTTTTCCTTCTAGCCCTCATTTCTCTAATAGGCAGTTAAATTACGCCGAGGTGCGCATGTTAGAAAAAGCGATGATCAACTTTTCCAAACAAGCTAATTAGTTTTTATGAAAAGCTGATCAGCTTTGATCCTCAACTTGCAAAGATGATTTTTTGAGAGACAAAAAGAAGCATTATCGGCACCTGTTCATTTTTACTTGACGTCTTGCGCAGATTTTTTTTGCCGAATAATATGCAATATTGTGCTCTCCCCGTCAATATGAGACAAAAAATATTAGTTTGCTCCAAACCAAGAATTTACAGAGAGTCCTCTGAACAAGACTTTCTGCAGGACGAGCGGGAGGTTCTGCACCGAAAATCAGCAGCCCATGACTCACCAACTTTACAGTAATATCTAGACGGATCTCTAAAAAAACTCAATGAACACTTTAAGAAGTTTATCCGCACGACAAAATATGGCTGCGTACGGCAAACATCGTCATAATTGTCTTCCAAGGCTTGAGAAAGGGGTACGTACACCATTTAGTGTGTTCTTGAGATCTTGCTCTAGCAGAACCTTTTCCTTTTCCATACCCATTACCTTTTCCGTTCTATCGCAAATCATACGAAGAGCGCTTGCTTTAATTCTGTAGACGGCGGTGGTTAGACGACTATTTGGGACCAGACAAGTTGGTTTTTGAAAAAAAAGGAAGTGAAAATATGACAGCAAAGTGGCAGAGGGTTGTGCGCAACAACTGAGCATGCAATTTTGATTGAATTTTGATAATCAGGGCTCGGCACAAGGTGGCTTTCAGAAATTGCAAAAAAAACGAACTCCCCTTTGATTTCACATTGAAAGTACGATATCCGCAATGAGATGTAAAAATAAATGAAAAGGAACGGAACAATACGAAATAAAAAAAGCATCAAACAAATGCGATGATGTCCGTATTCTCTGGATTGGCGGCATAATGTATCCAGCGAGCAGCACTATGCGTCTGGGGCAGAATTGCCGCCGCCATTAAAAATATTCAAGGGGCTGTAAGTGAGCGGGGAGGAGGAGGTTTGAGGCGGTTTAGGAACCATTTTGTAGGGTTTGGGATGTAGATGAAATTTATTTAGAGAAAGTAGAAAAATTATGTGAAAGAGGGAAAATTTGCGGCTTTTCTTTCCCAAGCCACCTCAGCTGGCTTCCAGGTGGCTTGAAAGCCACCACTCCGAAAAAAGGTTGAGCACGCCTTCAATTTACATAACATATTCAAAATTTTTCATACTTAATCTTAGCTCCCCATTGCCCATCTACATACTTATTTTGGTGTGACTTCATCTTTCCTGTAAACAAGCCCTCTACTTGTCTGGGAGGGCCGGCGGCAGATCGAAAGACAACGGTATGCTTTTCCGCAAAAACGATACCTCCTTTGCTTGTTCCCAGAAACCATATTCAGCTTGCTTGGTAAGCCATCTGTGCCGTACCCTGTTGATAATTTGTCATTTCGTCGGTTTATGAAAACGGTACGAAGCTATGGAACGACCTAATAATTAGAACTACTCGACTTACATGTGAACCACAACATTCTTGGCATTAGCATCACGTCCAGGCGGCGTCGAGGTGCTGCGATCCTTCATCTTTCCGAGAGTGCCAGATCTCGATTTTTTTCAAACTGGCATTTATTTTATCTTTTCTTAGCTTGATAAGCAAATTCCTATCACTCTGCCGACAGCTAGGATCTACTGCTTGGTCAAGATTGCAGAAGGCTTTATTTTTCGGTGTAACATCCAATTTCACGTTTTCGAAAAATAATCATTCTTTATTTTGTCATCGAAAACGAAAAGCAATATTGAATATTTTCAGCTGAGCACTTCCGTCACAAGACTACATTAAATGTGAGTACTGTGTTCGTACATTTTTCTTTATGTCAAGGCCACAAAAAAGGGCCGGGCAAGTATCACGCGATTTCATCGCCTCGCGATTCTCTCGACAAGACAACTGTTACCAGCTCGTTGCATGCCAATAATATTGTATTTCGGTTGTGATAGATTTCTGACACGACTAATTGAGGTGACTATCCCAACCGAAATGCATGATCGGTATGCAATGAACTCGTAACAGTTGTCTTGTTAATATTGGCGATAAAATCGCATGATGTAACCGCCCATGTAACCGGACCCGGCCCCAAAGACAACTGTTGAAGCCGTTCATCACCTTTTTTTCTCCCAAATGCTTTACCGAACAGATTGATTTTCAATATTGTCTTTCTGCTGCATTTATATTGAGCATTTTTGCACAGAGTTTTTACTATACTTATTGTGCCATCACGAGCTTTGATGCTTCTACTCATACGTTATTCATCACTAAATCCCTGTAGAAACACAAGTTTCAGATAAGAATGCTTATAAGTTACAGTACCTAGTGCAACAAGAAACTAGAAAAAGAAAAAAAAACTAGAAAAAAACTAGGAAAATTGTGTTTTGAAGTATTCTTTAAACAAAGTAACAAAGAAATTTGTAAAGCCTTTCATTGTCTGAAAAATTAATAGTTTGAACTGCAAACTATTAAGTTGTTCAGAATCTTCCATCAAAACTTCCAGCTTCCATCGAAACCGGGGTCTTTCCACCGCGGGTTTGGTCGGGGCGGATATGGTCGGGGAATATTCAATATGTCATAGATATTGTGTCCCCTGTATCCCGTGGATATTTCGGCGAGGCAAGCGACTAAGACCTGAAAGGGAAGATCGAGATTACTGCTTAAGAGCTTGTGATAAAAAACACATTGAACATTGCATTACCACGATAGCTTTCCAAAACATTTTGATGCTAGCAATTCTTGTTAGAATTTTATCTGCAATATCTATACTTATGTTGATGCGGTCATGATAACGACGAGACAAGAACAAGATATCATGGTTGGTAGTAAAGCTGTCGAAACTCAAAGTTATAACTCAGAGTTAACTCTGATCGTGAGTTACCTTTGTGGTAACACGCACCTTTTTGAGCCCCTTAACAGGTGATTAAGCAGAGCAGCTTTGAAAAGCGATGATATGGAAGGATACTTATTGATAGTTTATTCCAAATAGCCCAACATTGTCCAAATCATTCTGCATATGAAACAGCGCCACCAAACGCGCAGCTGAGCTCTGCGATAACACAGAGTTTGATTTGCGTTCCAGTCTATCGTGGAACTCAGAGATAACTCTGAGTTTGGTCAAAGAAAGAGAAATATGCACAAAAGAAAAGGGAAAGCTAAAAAGTCCTTCGGAGTACATTTTGCTCGTAATTTCTTCAGCAGTCGTGATGGCGGTATCGTAGTGCGCTGCGATTTATACAATTTTGAAATTTTTCAAAATCTTGACCCAGGGGGGTTCGGTGCGCTGATCAAATAGGGTACCCATTGTTCGCCATTTGTCATACAGCCGGCCTACGGTATTTTTAGGGTAGACAGGAGAAAGTCGTTGACCAAAACTAATGCCGAGAGGTTATTTGGGGCGCTGGTAACAAATATGGTATGCATATCTAACTGCGGATCCGTACAAGCTTACGGTAACTATACGGTAGAAGTGAGAAAAAACAAAACTGATTGAGACTTTGACAGTTGGGGTCATTCGGGGTAGTTTTTGCACGAAAGGTTTAATCTGTGCGCAGACCCTAATAGTCCATTCTTACCATTGCATATGCCATCCGCTCTCTCTTGTTCAAAACTTTCAGCAGCGCAAAAGACCAATCCGTGCGACAAACCACCAATTCTCAACAGAAATGAAAATGAGTGGGCTTTAATATAACATATTTTAACATGCATTGTGTTAATTCAATGAGCACATTATGGCAAAACAAGTTTGAGTTTGAAGTGGTGTTATGGCCCATCAGTTTAGTGATGAGATGATTGCGTTAGACCGGACAAGTTCGAGTACCAACTTTAAGGTTGCTCTTGCAACAAAGTGCTCACAGCTCCTCAAACAGCAAAATTCCGAGCTTGAGAGTTAAAACTTGGAGCTTTGAGAGCGATACTCAGTGTTTTAATAAGCATAACTCTGAGTTTCAAACACGACTCAGACTTATCTCTGAGTAAGCGCGGGGTTTTGAACTCGCGAGTTTCGAACAGACTACTGCCGATCCATGAAAAATGCATATTAGAGTGTATATATTGAATAGCAAAATGAGACCAAATGTGCCAAACCGTTTTTATAAGGAAATCTTTGCTTATTTGATTTGGTACATTAAGGAAACGCAGGGCGTAATGCTGCCAGATATCGCAGCAATTTGTCATTGTTATTCTTTAGTGCAGATAAACAATACCGAGCGGTAAGACTTAGAAAAAGCAGATCGACATTTTCAAAATGCTTTTTTGCGATTATTCTTACATAACTTTACATATTAAGGATGTACCCTATGTTTATTCTTTCGCAATGGTCGCATGAAAGCTTTTAATGTTCTTAATCTGTAATTGAATATAAAACTGGCTGCTTCTGCTTTAGATGCTTACATTACATATGCGACAAGCTTGAAAAGCTTACACACGCAAAAGATCATAGTGTTTCAAGGTTCTAATAAGGTTCGTATATATGTACATCCTGGCTGAGGAGCAGAGGAAAATGTAAAGAGACGCATATATTTTAGCGTTTTTTATATTTTGGCAAAATTCAAATTTTTCATTGCTTTTGCATCTCCGAGAGACTTTACTTTCCTTAAAATTGAACGTATGAAGTCGGCTATACAAGGCCGATTCTGGTTCGGTATGACGCTTTGTAGAATCTCTAGGGTCTGCAATTTCCCTTCAAGAATGTTCATCTTCCTACAAACACAATACATACGAGATAGAGATCTGAAGATCAAATCCGACATTGTTGAGCATACTTCTAATCAGACAAATGGAATTTGAAAGTTAATAGTATAGCGATGGATACCTTCGCGAGCAAAGCCTTATCTAGCATTTCATTATTCTGAACTCCCTTTGCTTCCATTATGCTTAGCCCGTATCATATCCCTAAATTCTTTCCTATTTTCTCATTTAGTCAAAAAATGGATCTCGCGAAATTCCATATTTTGGCAAAGTCATCGGTGAAATTCCGTAGTAGCTGCTTTGTGATTCCACATTATCGCGAGTCTCAGCTTGGAAGCCAATGTCGTCGCCGAGATGCTGCAAAACTGGCAACACGCCGCCATTCATAATTCTTGATTTTTAGGTCAGCAGAGGGATAGAGACCTCTATTATGGTATTTACTGGTAGGCAAATTCCTTTGCAGCCATTCTGATTGCCTAACGAGTTCTTTTTTGGCTGGCGAGATACTAGATTGTCGGATAAATTCTGCTCCACATTCTTTTTTCTGGAAAATTCTGAGTTCTTTTCGAAACTCTGAATTTGCGACACGGTTAGGACATAGCAGAGCCGGAGGGGACGCTGTTCTTAGCACCACCATTCGCACCAGCTCGCACTCCATAAGGCCTCTCGCAATTTCGCGCAGAGTTCATGCCCCGCCCATCGCTCTGTTCCTTTACTGGTCTCATTCGGAGCCTGCGGGCTGCGGGAATAGCGCAGACATGCAAAAGCGAAAATTCGTGAAAAATCGTCTTTACAAGGCAAATACCCTTATTATTGTATTTCAGAAGCAAGGACATTATGACATCCTATCCTACATATTATTGCGTTCCTATCCTAGCTACAGTATCTTCCCGTTGCCAATTACCACTAAGGTATTGCAGAGAGAAAATTAGAGGGAACTCAGTACCTAGATAAGTATGGTTCAGTCCCATACACCTTGGTTTTTTCACAAGCAGTATTATGTTCGTGAATTCGTGCTGGATAGTTCATACAGTTGATTCATTTGAGATTAGAAATGGGGACTAGGCAGAAGTGCGAGTGTTATCCCTCTGAGGCGCGCATGGTTTAGCCCATCCTCGGTATCTGCTCTTCTTTATCGGCTGCTTACCATGTGAATGAGAGCTGCATACCAACTACTGAACATTAAGAGGCAACACTAAGAGTGGCTAGGAGTCAAATGATTTGATAGAAAGAGTTAGCATCGCATAATAGTTGCTGTAGTGAGGGAGGTGACAATGCAGTTGATGCTAAAATGCTTGCTGATTTTTGTTTTGGAGTTGATAGCTGCCTACACTTTTCATTTTGTTTGTTCATTTTCTTTTGGCGCACGTCATGTGCATTCAATAAATAAATAAATGAATCCTCGAAAAGGCCTTACAGTACTCAAAGTAAGTACTGGGTATATACTGGTACAAAGAAGGTGATTTTCTTTGCAAGAGATATTTCTCAAGACTTTTTGTCTCTACATTGGTAATAGATTGAAGCTTGTCACGTTAACGTACAGCATTCCTATGAACGTCCCAGAGATTTCATGATTATATTATCGGCCTTCGATACTATTCACAACTAAATCAAAATTACGAACTTTAAAATGCAATTTACGAACTATGAAATGCAATCACAGGGAAGTCTGTTCTTCTAAGGATAGCCAACGAAAAGTTGATTGGAGTAATTATCTTGAAGCTAAAACCCACTGTTTCGAACAAGCCGTGAATTAGGTTCAATTTTTGTAAGTTATCGAATTCCCTTTGAGTTACGCGGGAACTTGTGCACCGATCTACTAAGTATATTAGGTTGGATAGAATCTTTGGCG